CTTATTTTCAGATAGAGTGGGAGGGACAGAGGGAGGAGGTGAGAGAGAGAAACATGGATGTGAGAGGGACACACCGAGTAGTTGCCATCCACACGACCCCAACCAGGGCCGGGGACAAACTGCAACCGAGGTAGGTGCCCTTGGCGGGAACCAAACCTGGGTCTCTCTGGACCGCAGGCCGATGCTCTAACTGCTGAGCCAAACCGACCAGGGCGCTTCTCACCATTTTTTAAACCTCAATTCTATCTCACTCTCAGATGTACTGTGATGTAACTCCTTCCTTTAGCTATATTCCATTACATAGTTATTTCTCTCTTTCTCCTTTTTTAGCATTTTAAATTCATCCCTGCACTTTTTATAAGATATGCTGTTTGTCACCTAGAACTTTAAAAAAAATTCTCTCTGATATTTTAATGTTTTTATTTTTTTATTTTTAATGCTCTCCCACCTGTTACAACTTCCTTTCAATTTTTAGCAAATCACATGAAAAGTAGAATATTGGTATCCCTATAAACCCTTTTTATTCTCCAGACTTATTTTGCTAACCATCCCCTCCCCTTGATCTTTAGGGTCATGTACAGATGAAGTAATAGTGGGAACAATGAGGAGATTGCAGCTCGGGGATAAAAACAGGACTTTTGGTGTCAGGCAGACTTGGATTGGAATCCGGGCTTTACTTGTTTCTAGCGGTGAAACCTTACACCATCTCTGCAGCCTTTCTGTGCCTCAGTTTCTTAACCTGTAAATGTGGGTAATAATGCTTAACTCATGGAGTCGTTTGAGAATAAAATGACAGCATTTGTATAAAGAGCTTCTGGGTATCGTAGCTTCTAGGTACAGTGTGTATCCCAGGAACCACTCAGGAAATGGTAGTCTGTTTGTGTTCTGTCCCAACTGCTGTCACAGTGAACCTGTAGCCCCGCTGGGGTAAGGGACACACAGGTTTGTCTCAGAAGGACGGAACTCATTCCTGAGTGATCATTCTGTCTTCAGTGAACTATACATTTCTCAACTCCAAAAATATTTTTCTAAGTGGGGCATCTTCATTACATAAACAATTATGGGGAATATGTCTGTGCAGGGACCTGGGCTTGGTTTTGGGGGTGTATAAATCAAGCCTGACCACAAATCTGCATTGAAGATGGCGCACAAACCCCAGCGGGGCTACAGGTTCACTGTGACAGCAGTTGGGACAGAACACAAACAGACTACCATTTCCTGAGTGGTTCCTGGGATAAATAACAGAAAAAGTGCATGTCCTGATAAATCCTCAAAGTGCCGTGGGAAGTCAAAGAAGGCAACGTCATTTCTAGCCAAAGGTCTTCAAAACCAACCCGTGTCCCCTCACTTCTGCAGCCAGGATTGTTTCTCCTGCAGCATTCCCCATGTCTACAAGTGGACACCGCCAGGTGTTCAGATCCAAGCCAGGACTCAGAAGGAAGCTCTCTGGCCACTGCCTCGCCTTCCCCTCCCCTCCGGCTGGACGCAGGCTCAGCAGATCCCCCCTCCTTAACGCCCCTCCACGTCTTCACCTGGCTTCACTTCCACTGGCCTGATCAGTAGTTCTCAAACTTTCATGCCTCAGACTCTCCTGGAGGGTTTGTTACAACACAGATTGACAGGCCCAAACCCCAGCGTTTCTTCTAGTTCAGTAGGTCTGGGGCAGGGCCTGAGAATGTGCATTTCTAACAAGTTTCCACTTGATGCCGATGCCGCTGCTCTGGGGACCGCAATACGAGGCGCTGCCTTCATTCATGACCTCAGCACTTCCTGTTGAGATTATCGCCCTGTCCTCCTAGCTAAGCCTTCTGTCTCTGATCCTTACTTTTATTTTTCACATTCCCCACCTTGATCTCAGATCTAGAAAGAAAAAGAAAATCTTTTCTGACTGTGGGTTCCCCATTAGACAAATGTCAAAATCCCTCCTGTGACCTGTAGGGCCCTCCCTTACCTGGTTCCTACCATCCTCTCTGGTCTAATCTACTGCCTTGCTGGCCCCATGCCCGACCTCTGGCACACGGAGCTCCTGGTAGTTTTAATATCCAAATATCCATGTCATGTTGTGTTTTGTCCTTTGCATCTACTATTCACTCTGTCTGTCATGCCAGGGGTCCCCTTCTTCACTTGCTAACTCTTATGGGCCCTTGTGAACACCTCTTTGGGGAAGTATTACCTCCACTGCCAGCAGGGGTAGGTACCTCATCTCCGTGCCTTCTACCCCACGGTGTTTATCATGTGATGGAACCTGCCTGCTGGTCCACCTGGTCCACAGATCTGAGCTTCCTGAGGGCAAGAACCAAATATCTTATCTCTATAGCGACAGCACCAAGCAGTCCATTGCCTGACAAAGAGTTGAAAATCAGTGGATGTTGAATGAAAGGGAGACCCAGAAAGGCCATTAGATGAAGGTAGGCATTTTACTCAACTGCAAAGAGCATTTAGGATTTGGACAATGAAAAGAAGAGGAAGAATGTTCCAGAAGAGGGAGCTTGAGCCTATGGTCAGGCTTAGACTAGTGTAAGGAAGGCACAAGGAAGGGTTTAGTTTGGCCACAGGAGTGTTGTCCTGAGAGTCAGATAGCAAGGCTAAAATTAACATGACTCAGCAAGGGATCGAACATGGAGATTCAGGAAAGACCGGATCAAATGTGAGCATTTAGAGGGTACTCTTGACCAGAAACTGACTCTTTAGAGGTGAAATAAGCTAGATAAAGAGTAAAGATGGTGAGGACCAAGATTATGGTTTGAGTTATGGTAGGTTTGGGGACACCATCAGGACACAGCCCACTGTCTTGTCTTTAAGTGTCTTCCCACTGACCTCATTCATGTTTTGCTCTCCAGGGCCTGGTAAGGTCTCAGTAACTGTAGAAGGAATGAATGAATGATGAATGCATGCAGTGGATCAGTACAGAGGCCAGCAGTGGTCCTGTACGAGCCAAGGAGAAGAAGGAGAAGTAGCTTCTGTGATGATTTTAGGTAGCACGTTGCCACCCATGGTGCCGTCCATGGAGATAAGACTCAGACATGAGCCACGGTGGGAGGGCTGACTCAGGTGATGGGCAGCAGGGGTTCAGGAGACCTTTACTTGTCTCTAGAAATGGGGAAAGTCTGAGCATTTGTGGTACTTCCTAAGTGGCTTTGGTGCGTGGTGACAAATGTATGAGAGCTGAAGTGAACTCTGACTTCACTGTACTCATGCAATAAACATGAACATTAATACCTTTTCCTATGTTTAAGGACACGTCTAGAAAGAGTTATGCATTGTCACCACTAGTCAATTTTTCCTTGTGAAACAGACAGCTTTATGACTATTGTGACACTGTTCTCAGAGTCCAACCACTACTGTTCTTCCATTAAGTATCACACGTTGACATGTGTTTGGAGAATATAACATAATGTTGAATATGTGAAGGAATGTTTTTTCTCATGACCTGTTTTTCCAGTCTTCTTGTATAATACCAGGGGGATTTCTCACATTACTCTTGTGTGCAGCGAAACACCTGAATAAAAATATTCTAGAGATTAAGGCATTAAATGGTGTTTATATTAAACACACACACAGTGAGGAGTCGTGTTTCTAAGCGGACATCCTCGGGGACCTTTGGTTGTGCTTCCAAATGGATAATTCTGTTGGTAGACCCATCAGAAATCAAAATGTGCAATGTGACCGAGCAAGACGTTTTATTACCAAAAGCAAGCGCCAGGGCATGTGGGGGTGGAGGTGTTGAGGGTAAACAGTAGATAAAGAAGCAGAATTCAATTTCCTTTTGTGCTCAAGCTTAGGCAGACCATTATTTACCTGTGCCTGCCACCGACAAACCAAAGCACAGGCTTTTGAACCTGGGAGTCATTTTCTTTTAAAATTCAGTTTCACATCCCTAACAATCATTGTGAGTATGAATATCTAATAATAGGATCAGGCGTTGACATCTGTGTGTAGCGTGATAAAGCGTGTACTAGTCGGAGCTAATTTATTTAGCAGATATTTACTGAGCACTGTGTGTGTGTGTTACCCTACACTAGACAGGACGGAACAAGGCAGACGGGGTTCTCTGATCTGCCTGCAACAATTTGGAGTTCCCGACTCTGATTTTATTGTTGCTGCTGCTGTGGGTGACATGTGAATGCCTGTTTTTGTTTCCAGTGTTCAACTTGAACTAATTCATAAAATATGGAATGCTGGGCTTGTGATGTACCTCCAGAGTAGCCATTCTCCATGCGCCTCTTAAAAATTTCACGGCGTGTCAGTTTTGATGGGGTCAATTAGAAAATCTAAGGGAAGTAGGCTTCAGGAAGTCACGGGGGCATGAGAATGCTTGGAATTTCTAACATTTTACTAAACGTTTCTGGACGATGACATGTTCCAGAAGACCATAAATGTTAGTTTGTACTAATATAAACTACATCTTGCCTTGCTGATAACTGGAAATAAATAATTCAGATGACCACCCACTGAAAACCAAGAAGTTTAGGGGGGGAGGGGGTTGAGTGTTTCCTATGAAATATTTGCTTTACTGTAAATGTTTATACTCAAAGAGAAAAATAATGAGGTACTGCCTCATTTTACTCCCACTTTTATATTCTGCAGAACTGGTTTCAGATAATTCTGCATCTCTCCGTAATATCATTACAGGAATATAAAATAATGATTAACCTCTTGTCTTGATTTGACTTTAATGGAACGAATTAAAGGCATTTTTCTTATTTTCATTTTTGAACAGCAAGCCACTGACTTTCTCCAGTTAAAATTAATTAATCTGTCACATTGTTTTCATGGTAGCAATCAACTAAATTAAGTACAGGACTATAAATCTGGATAGCACTGTTTTATTCAGTAAGAAGCCTTAAGTAAAGTTCATAAATGTTGCACAAAACACAGCTGTTGGGCTCTGGTCCAGGAGGTAATAAGTGAGGATGGGTGGAATTGGGGAGATGACCTTTAGCTTAATATAGTTGGAAAATTAGATCCTATATATGCTAATTTTGTACTTTTTTTAATAGATGGAACTGATTAAAAATATAAGTACTGCCGAACAGCCCTATTTATTTACTCGACACGTTCATTTCCTCAACTTCTCAAGGTAAGATATTTTCCAGTTTAATGGTTTTTGTGTGTGTTTGTTTTTTCCCCATTTCTTTTTGGTACTTAGACTCCTTCTAATGAACAATTACTTTAAAATCTACCTTTAGTCCAAGGTAGTGTAATTGCCCTTGAAAATACATTTTTAGTCCTGTTATTTTTGCCGTGGAGGGATCAGAATTTGAAATATGTGGACAAAAGCTTCGTTTCTTTCCAGAATACTAATCTCAAATCTTATGAAGAGTTGAAATTATTTTTAATGAGAAGCCATTTGACCTGATAGTTCTTTTTAAAAAATTAAAATTAAAAATCTGATTTTGTTTTGAAAGAAATAACTTGGGAGGTACGACATGGGCGTTTTAACAGAAATGTTTCATTGCACATTTGTGTACAGTTTGAACCCACGCAGGACTCGGAATGACCTGGTGGTAGAGTGATGTGTGTTCTATGGAATCTGAAGCTCTAGTGCTGGCCTCCCTGCCTACCTTTTCAATACTCCGTCTGGTTTTCTAAGCCTTGTGTGTTTGATGCTGATGGGGCATTTTAGGAATCTGGTTTTGCTTCAGCTGCAGAGACTTTCTGACAGTAATGCAAATTTTCAAATGTAGGGTTTTAGACCTTGGATTTGTGAAATTGCTAACTGTGAGTCCTGGGCATTCTCTTCCCTAGGGATTCATTTGCATAGGTTCCCTTGTCGCTGTGCTTTGCTGTGAATTGGAAGTTCTCAGGTTCTTCCTCTCCTCGGGCTGGTCCATGTCTGAGCTCAGTTGTATCCCTGACAGAGCACTGGGTCCAGGGACAGATGCACTGACCAGCCCGGGACCCTGACAGAGCACTGGGTCCAGGGACAGATGCACTGACCAGCCCGGGACTCTGACAGAGCACTGGGTCCAGGGACAGATGCACTGACCAGCCCAGGACCCTGACAGAGCACTGGGTCCAGGGACAGATGCACTGACCAGCCCGGGACCTGACAGAGCACTGGGTCCAGGGACAGATGCACTGACCAGCCCGGGACCCTGACAGAGCACTGGGTCCAGGGACAGATGCACTGACCAGCCCGGGACCCTGACAGAGCACTGGGTCCAGGGACAGATGCACTGACCAGCCCAGGACCCTGACAGAGCACTGGGTCCAGGGACAGATGCACTGACCAGCCCGGGACCCTGACAGAGCACTGGATCCAGGGACAGATGCACTGACCAGCCCGGGACCCTGACAGAGCACTGGGTCCAGGGACAGATGCACTGACCAGCCCGGGACCCTGGGCCTCCCTTCTCAACCAGTTGACTGGCACTCCCCTTACTGTTATTCCCCTGAGGATAATAGGAGAGCATCTTCTATTGTCCACTTGCTGATGCTGACCTCATGGTCCCCAAGGGCCAGAAACCCTGGGAGGCCCTGAGTGTTCCCAGCTCCTGAGTTCACACTGGGTGGGCACAGCTGCCCAGCCACAGGATGCCTAGCAACCTAAGGGGTGGAAGAAGGTTTTAGCCTTCAAAGGCCTTCCCTGCTGTGCAGCAGGCCCAGTGCAAATTAAGTGTGAAGAGAAGGAGCTGCAGCAGAGCAAGTTATGAAGCAGTGAAGGAGTTGCTGCCTTATCTGTGCAAGCTTCCCCTGAAGGTCCCCAGCCTGCCTGATGCCCAGGGTCCCCTTGCACAGGGACCAGGTGAACAGGACACCTGCACATTGTCCTCAGTGACCCAGGGCCGCCGCCGAGAGCTGGCGTGTATTTCCATCCACATCTATAGACTTGCTTGCTACTGGACTGTCTGAGGCATGCGCCTGCCTCTCACTTCCAGTCGGCCAAGAACAGATAATTCAACATAATGAGATAATGAGGACTTGTTACTATTTCAGGCATTGCATTTTATGACTTGTACAGAGCCGAGCTCGGGCCCTCTGACCCTCACTCTTCAAATGAGCTTCCTTCTGCGTCACCCAGGGCGTCCTCCAACCGCATTTATTTAAACTCTTGCATCAGGGTCAAATGTTTACAACCCAAACAAATTTGAATGCCACAAATTTTAATAATGAGCTCTGGACAGTGCAAAACTAATAACAAGCCAAAGCTCATATCTTAATTGGATCAGCAGAGCTGGGCACCGTATGGGGACTATTTTATCATGACCGCCAATGTCAGAAACGTGTCCAAGAGTTTAATCTTGATTAATTTGATTCAGAAAAAAGGGAATGATAACTACCTTTAGGAGACACCACATCTGCAGAAAACAGTGTTGGGCTGGGTGTCAGACCTTCTCACTGGCCATGATTCTGGGCAAGCAGTTTAACCTCCTGGGCGCCTCTCTTGTTCTCTCTATAAAGTAGGGACAGTCCCTGCCACTACCACCTTCACACGAAGGCACGCCTTGAGGTTCTTTGGGAAGAACAATATTCTGTGTAGTGAGAGTGGCCTGACAGGCTTTTCGGCAGGAGTCCGCGGAGCCCACGGTTGGCTCCCGCTGCGGGGAGCCCCGGTGGCCCTGTCCCAGGCTCTGAGGGTGGCCCTGCTCCTCCGGCTGCCTCCAGCCCATCTTGCTCGATGAGACACGTGTTTGTGGAGGGCCCTCCGTCTTCTCCACGCGGCTCTAGGCCTGGGGCTTCTGCTGGGAACGAGACACGTTTCCTTGCCCGCAGGTAACCGTAAGCTCTTCTTGTTAAGAAAGAAATGGCAGGAACGCGTGATGAACTTGCGGAGAAAGAGTCGGGGTCTCCCTGAGAGGAAGTGGGAGGCAGGCCCTCCCCACCAGAAGGGAGCGTCTGCCAAGCATTGCAAGCAGGAGTCCTTGCCGCTGGGCTGTGAGGGGTCGGGGGCTCTGGACAGATTGAAGGGAACGGCATGGTGGCATAGGAACAAGCATGAGCGAAATCTGGACAGACAGAGGGTGGGAACCCAGTAAATGGGAGCTGGAGGGTGAACACAGCTGCGTTAGCATAACAGCCCAGAATCGCAAGAAGGAAAGGTGGAGACCACCCTGATCACCTCTGCTCCCTTAACAAGCTCATGCTCACTGTGGGAGCACCCTCACCCCCTCTTCCCACCCCACATGCACAAGGCCTGGGGGTCCTTCGGTACAAGACCTTCACCATCAGGGGTGGAATGACACACAACTTTCATACATTACAAGACGATGTTATACTCAGAGAACGTGGGAAGTTACAAGTCACCTTTTCCCTTTTCAAGGGCATAGCTTTATTTAAGGAAAATGTCTCGAGTATAAATGGAAAACTGAGGACATAACAAAAAAAAGCCCCAAAATATACAATTAGAGAAATACAAGTAAGTTGGGGCTTGTTAAAAGGGCTTCCGCATGTTTTTAAAAATGAGTTTTGTCTTTTGAATTGTAAGGCATAGAGATGATAAACCTACCCTGATCATTGCTGACAGGCACACGGCTGGCTTGTTTCAAGACAAAGAGGTTTCTAGGAGAAGAATAGATACTGCAACCTAATGTTCTTTCTTGCTATTTCATTTCTAATCTCCCTTACATTCTTAACATACAGCAAGGTACTAAGAATGAAGTCTAGCCTCTCTCCCCACACATTCTTTTGCACCAAAATTTTCTGGACTTCTGAAGGGTTTGGCATTTTTCCAAAATAAATCGATCCTTACTTCTTTTTTTTTTTTTTCCATTAATGATGGCATCCTTACTTCAAAGGTTAGACACTGAAAAATGCTAAACCGTGAGCTTCTGGCTATTCAGTAGCTAACTTATTTTTTCATTTTCTAGGCATCGTTCTCTGTCCCTCCTTTTTCCTTGTTTTAGGGCTAGAAGGAACCATTTCGCCACATCCAGTTTTATTAACTCAACCATGGAAAACAACAGCATCAGACCGATCTGGTGTTTTTGTAGCTACAGCAGGGACGTTTTCCCGCCAGGGGAGATACACCTAAGCCCAGCAGGACGTTCAGACTCTGGGACGGGCTTGGGAAGTCTCCCACGGCAGGGCTCTTTCCCATGGGCCAAATGTTTTCCTCCAGACTACCTGGAGAATTGAGTCCAAACTACCGTGGTCTAAAAGAAGCAACTCTTTCCTATGAAGTTCAAGGAGTTGTAATATTTGCATACTGCGGTTTCACATGTCTGTTGCCAGTTGTCAAAGTCACTTCAAGAACTCAAATTTTCGAGAAGGTTCAACTTCCCAACCTCAACAGTGTCTCTTTAAGTGTGTCTTAGATCAACACACTGGAAAGAATGACAGGCGATTCAGTTTGTCTTCCCCCAGCCCCCACTTCCCCCTAAACTTTCAGGGGGAGGCAATAATTCTTTTTCCAGTTTACAATTCCCCTCAACCCCCAACTTGGATCTTGCAAGGAAAACATTGTGAAGTTTTGTGCAGAGCTCAATGCTATCAAAATGGTCCAAGCGAATTGTGGGAGAAATTAACACGCTAAATAATTTCCAACTGCCACCTCTCTGAACCTTTCTTCCTTTCTCACCATGACCCTCTCACCCCCTCACCCTCCTTTGCTTCCATTTCTTTTGTTTTTTTAATCCTCACCGGAGGATATTTTTCTATTTATCTTTAGATAGAGTGGGAGAGAGAGGGAGAGAAAGGGAGAGAGAGAGAAACATTGACGTGAGAGGGACACATCAACTGGCTGCCCCCCGCATGACCCCAACCAGGGCCAGGGATGAACTACAACCGAGGTACGTGCCCTTGGCTAGAATCAAACCCGTGGCTTATTGGTCCGTGGGCCGACACTCTCCTGCTGAGCCAAACCAGCCAGGGCCTTTGCTTCCATTTCTAGCTCATCTTTTCTCTCAGATGGTGGCTCCAATACCAACACTGACTTGCAAAAGCAAAACATTTAAAACTAAATCAATCACTGGAGAAGCAGGCAGGGCGCACCGTGCAAGGGGGAGCATTTTGGACACTTTCTCTCTTTCCCTGAAGGGAAGTCTGCCCTCTGATGGCACTCTTTAACAAAACAAATCCGATCTTGCTAATTCTATAATTCAGTCGGCTTCCACATCTGATTTCTAAATGTTGGCTTTGTTTTTGTTCTCATTAGCAAAGTGATCCATTTTCATTCTGTGCCCTGCAGCTCTTTTGTAGTGGTGTCAAACTTTGAAGACGAAGTTATTGAATACTTTTTTGAAATACTTCAGCAGAGCCCAGAAGTTTGATTTGATAATGATTTCCCTTACTGTATCCCATGTAAACACAGCGGAACTACCCTTCCTGGAATGGTCCTCTCTCCTTCACCCGTCCCACTCTGCAGAGTGGACTGTCAGCCGCCCTCTGCCTCAGTTGGCCCGTTGAAGGTTAGCATAACCTGGACTTGCCCTGAGCTCACCTCCCTGCACGAAAGCAAGGACCTTCCTCTTGGTCATCTACCCACCTCCTGTCTTACCAAGTCACCTTTCTCTTGGAGCAAGAACCCGAACTCCAGTGCCTCGACTGCCCCCTCCCTTCGCCCCTTTCCCCCACTTCCTGCTAAGTGAATGTCCCCACCCTAGCAGAGAGTAGCTCAGTCTCTTCTGCTTGTGTGAAGGGAGGCCCTATCCTGGCAGCCAAGACCGAGGGTCCCCCCACTTGAGTGGCCATTACTGGGATTAGCTTCCCTCAAAGGACCATTCGGTACCCATGTCCCCCTACCCCAGGCAGCTCCTCACCTGCCCCCAATGATAACCTGTCCCTTGAGGGCTCTCACGACAAAGACCAAAGCTGTGGCTGCTGGCCTTGGGCAGTTTTCATCTTTCACTGTAGGTAACAGGACAAGGAAACATCGGCTTCAGGCCAGAGGTTAAAGAGAAGACGTCCTTGGGGTGGAATGGGGGCTCCAGGGGCTGGGAGGAGGGGCAAGGGGGTGTATTGTTAGGTGGGCACAGAGTTTCTGTTCAGGATAATCAGAACCTTCCGGAGGTGGATGATGATGAAAGTGCACCTAAAATATTTACCCAGGTGCTTTGTGTGGCTAATGAAAAGGAGACTAACGTTGCTGATGAGCTGGTTGGTTGAGATAGCAGTGTGGGACAGGGGGTGAAGAAAATGCTCACAGCGAGAGATTGGAAAATGCATGAAAAGAATGAGAACCATGCAGTTCTCCTTCCTACAGAATTATGTGCTGCTTTGGATCTTTGTGGTCTCATCAAAAAAAGCAAAAGCAAAAGAATATGATAAATTTGAAGAGGGTCAGAAGGAGACCCATGGGGATGATTCAAGTGTTGGTGAATGTGACCTTTGAACAAATAAATGTCAGAGAAATCAGAAATACCCGCTACTTTAGGGTGACTTAAACGAGAACTTCAAATATGCAGTCCTTATCGTGGTGACCAAGGGACAAGAGGGTGTGTTGTTAAGTGAAAAATAAAACTATGGCCTGACTCCACTCTCTCAGGTTCTCACAACCCAGAACCTGTCGTCGCTGGACCCACCACCATTTCTCAGTGCTCGAGAAACACCTCATCAGAGCCATAGGTTGTAAGTGGAAGGGAAATAAGTCTCATGACAAACACTAAAGGAATTTTTAAAAGAAACATAGACACAAAAGTTAGGGGAGTTGGCTCTTGCCGGTTTGGCTCAGCTGTTGGAGCATTGGCCTGCAGACCAGAGAGTCCCAGGTTCAGTTCCCGCTAGGGGCACATACCAAAAACAAAAGTTAGAGGAGTAAAAATTGAAGCTGAAAAAGCTAAACGTTGTAAAAACACACAAAGAGAAATGAGTCTTTGTGTGGAGGGGACTGGACAAAGGGAAACGCACACAAAAGGAAGATTAGGAATTTGGGGTGAGTGCAACAAAGACTCCTCAACTGTGGGGTGGGCCCATAGGAGGGGCTCCACGGGAGGCTGTGGAACCTTCTCCCAAGGGTGTTTCAAGGGTGTACAAAGCATTCTTCCTCTAGGACAGAATCAGCAGTAGGCATAGGTTCAGGTATTCTAAGGGTGACCAGGAATTTAAAAATTGCTGAGGGGTGAAGCTGAGTGGGACAGGAGGAAATGGGGGTGAGAAATGTATTTGTCGCCTTGGGTACTGAGACACAGAGCAGTGGTTTCCCGGCCTCTTTTGCATAATTGACATCCCCCCACCCCAATCCCCAGTTTTGGCAGTTTGGGAGGGAGCCGTCGGTCCTAGAAAAAGGAAGAGAATTGGGAGGCTGAAACTATTATCACTGTCACTTTCTGGGAAGGAAAAGGTATGTATCAGACACCTCTCTCAAAGAAATTTCTGGAGAGGGACTATTATCTGACCCTTGACAATAAATTCTTAAACTGTCCAAACTCCTGTTTTGGACAGCTACCCTGGAACTCTCGCGTTGGGTCACAGCGTGCAGACAGGAGCCATGCTCCACGAGCCTGTCAACCCTCACTCACGTCCACCGCTTGCAGGAGAGGTGGCTGTGGCCAGGCCAGAACCGTCTCACAGCGGAGCTGTGACCGAGTCCCTTGATCGGACAGTTCTGCTAACTAGTGGCAAACGTCATTCACATGACAGAGAAGTACAGTTGAGGGTTTAAAAGCATTACACAATTTCTGAGGGCTTAAATGCATTCACACCTAGTGTTCATGCTTTGTCTTCCTAATCCCTAGAATTATTACTTTAGTTGCTATTTATCATAGATATGAAACACAATTTAATTTCTATATGTTTTTATTGATTTTTTTTTAGAGCGAGAGGAAGAAAGAGAGAGAGAGATAGAAACATCAGTGTGAGAGAGAAATATCTATCGGCTGCCTTCTGCATGCCCCTTGCTGGGGATCGAGCCTAAAACCTGGACATGTGCCCTGACTAGGAATTAAATTGGGATCTCTCAGTCCATGGGATGAATGATGCTCAGTCCACTTAGCCACACCGGCCAGGCTGAAACACAATTGAATTTAAAAGAGGAAGATATATCTAGGATGATGGTGGTTAGCTGGTGGTTGGTACAACTGACTTCTGGGACTAGTTAGTTGTTCATCAGGTTGCATGAAGGTCCCCTGTGTTCATCTGGGAACTGGCAAGTTTCCTGTTGGCACAGCTCACCTTCCGTGAGCAGCGAACTTTCCGGGTAGTGTATCCATGGTTCCAGAACACCATTCACACGTCCTGGGGCCCGAAGTCCCACCATTGGAGAGTCACTTCTTTTTCTCGTTTGTATTCTTTTATCTGAAGATTCTCTTTAAAAATGCAAATAAGTGGAGGACAACATTGTAGCATTAATACACAGAAAAGGATTGGTGCTGTATGTCTGCTTTCCTCCGACAACAGATCCTTGTGGTATTGGCAGACACACAAACTTAGAAGCCTACACGCGGGCGTTCATTGCCTCATGGTTGAGCACCTACTGTGCGCCATGCCCTGTGTGCCATGCCCTGTGCTTGGTGACATCGTTCCTGGCTCCAGGAGGCTCACAGTCTGATGGGAGAGGCAGATGTACGCACAGTGCTAGAGACAAGGCTTGGAGGCAGAGGACAGAGGGACGGACATTAGGACAGGTCATTGTTGAAGGATGTGACTGCGATTCAGGGCTGGGTTTTGAAAGGCGAATGGAGTCTGCCAGCCAGAGAGAGGGGGGAGCGAGGTTGTATCAGTTTGTCTTCTCTGAGCTCCTTCCAGCCCCTGACAGAATGCCCAGGCATGCTCATCAGAGGGTCACGGGGTCATAGGACGAAGGAAGCCTGCAGGTCCCTCAGGACGTCCCCAGAACAAGACCTCTGACCAGGGCCTGGAGCACCTGTCCAGGCTCCCAGGCCACCGCTTCAGGCAGTGCAGAGAGAAAGGGGAGGGAGGGACCCTTAAGAAAAACCCAGCCGACCTGGTCATTTTGTCCTGGGAAGGCCTTGCTCCTGAGCCAGCATCCAGTGCATTCGTCTAATTCCTTTCTGGAAGGAATGAAAAGGGAACACCTGTGATGGGGGTATTTTCATCTACCATCACTTGCCATCCCTGGGGATAACTACATCGACCTTTGTTGTGTTCAGGAGAGTCCTCGCGTTTGCTCTGATCAGTTCCGGAATCCTCTTTGCATGGTTCAGATACAGATTCTGGAGCCAGACCACCTGGGCTCATGTCCTGGCCCTGTCACAAGTGACTCGCCCTCTGTCTGCCTCAGTTTCCCCAAGTGTAAATGGTGATAATTATGGTTTCTACTTACTGGAGTTTTGGGAGGCCACAGTGAGTCAGACACATCAAGTATTCACAAGGTAAACAGTGAACGTTTAAGAAATGTTGACTTATTAATCACTTAGGGCAAAGCACCTTGCCTGAGACTGTAAATTAGCATGTAGGGTACAGCCTGTTTACCTGAAAGACCATCAGGACCTAGCAGTCAGTTCAAACATTCACTGAGGACCAACCAGGTGCCGGAGGGTCTGTGCCAGACCCTGGGCATACAGAGTCCGGTACAGGGTCCGCTCTCAAGAACCTACAGCCTGGTAAGAAAACAAGGCGCCTCCCTTCGCGTTGACAGACGCTGTCATTTTATGGTACCGCGGCCTCCCAGCAGGGCCCCGCACAGGCTGCTTCCGCAGGGTGGCAAATGCCTGCCAGGGGCACCGCCTGCTGGTTGCACTGTGCCTGTGCCTTAGCAGACGGTCCCCTGCTGATGCCATGCTCACCCAGAGGGGAGCCGGTGTCGTCTCCGCGGTTCTCTTCCTCGGAAGCGATGGGCTATAACCGGCTCCTGTCCGTGTGCTTGCTAGGTTTGGAGGAGACCAGCCAGTCTACATCAACATCATCAGAGACCCCGTCAGCCGGTTTTTGTCCAACTACTTCTTCCGCCGATTTGGAGACTGGCGAGGGGAACAGAATCACATGATCCGCACGCCCAGCATGCGGCAGGAGGAGCGCTACCTGGTGAGTCCCGTCGCGTCCCGAGGTGGCCCCTCCCAGGCCCAGGGCGCAGCGCCCCGGTGCCGGCCGGGCATTCCCGGCACCTCCACGGAGCCCCAGGTGGCGAGGGCTCTTCCTGGGGGAGGAAGTTTTGCCCGTGAAAGTTGTTCCAGGTGACCCAGATCCAAATGAACGTTGTCCAATGATTTCTAATTTTGTTTTCCTCGGTTTGTCTTGAGCGCTCGAGTTCAGGTCCCAGAGAAGAAAGTCCTTCCTAGGGGGTCCCGAGTAGCAGTGTGTCCTTTAGATGTGTCTGCGCGTCGTTCTCCCGGGGTCACAAAGCACATTCCCACACCTCATCCCACTCCGTTCCCGCAGCAATCCTAGGATGGAGGAGTGCTTTCAGGAAGGACCCCGAGATCCCACCAGGATGTGGGACTTGCCAAAGCCACGCCCCCCAGTAAGGGGCACAGCTGTATTTACTGTCACTGGGTCCTCTTGACTTCAAGTCCAGGGTTCTTTCCACCGCAGCACCACAAAATCAGGCCATCTTTGCAAAAATGGTTTGCTTTTTCTGCACCTCTTTTGGGGGATGCTCAGCTCCAAAGGGATGTGGGTTCTGACCTCGGTCACTGTTTCCAGGAGCGCGCTGGAAACAAAAATAACAGGCAGACTTGTGCATCTTTCCTACAGCACCGGAATCAAAAGGGACAGTTCTCACCTACTTGTGACCTAAATTGACAAAAGCTTACTGAGTAGCTGAGAGCCTGGCATTCAGGAGGCTGCAATCCTGGTCTCAGTGGGTGAGAGAGCCCTTTGGGGTCAACACAGACCCATGCTGGGCTGTCGCACAAACAGAAAGAAGATAAAGTTATGGAGGGATCATGCATGTCTGTTCCCACTGCTGGAAACACACACACACACACCACCACCACCACCACCACCCCTGAAACACATACACACACACACAGCCTGCACCCCTGCTGGAAGCACAGGGAGCCTGCACCCCTGCTAGAAGTCCACAGAGCCTGCACCCCTGCTGGAAGTCCACAGAGCCTGAACCCCTGCTGGAAACCCAGGGAGCCTGAACCCCTGCTGGAAACCCACGGAGCCTGCACCCCTGCTGGAAACCCACGGAGCCTGCGCCCCCGCTGGAAACCCAGGGAGCCTGCGCCCCCGCTGGAAGCCCAGGGAGCCTGCGCCCCCGCTGGAAGCCCAAGGAGCCTGCGCCCCTGCTGGAAGCCCAGGGAGCCTGCGCCCCCGCTGGAAGCCCAGGGAGCCTGCACCCCCGCTGGAAGCCCACGGAGCCTGCGCCCCCGCTGGAAGCCCACGGAGCCTGCGCCCCCGCTGGAAGCCCAGGGAGCCTGCGCCCCCGCTGGAAGCACAGGGAGCCTGAACCCCCGCTGGAAACCCACGGAGCCTGCGCCCCCGCTGGAAGCCCAGGGAGCCTGCGCCCCCGCTGGAAGCCCAGGGAGCCTGCGCCCCCGCTGGAAGCCCAGGGAGCCTGCGTCCCCGCTGGAAGCCCACGGAGCCTGCGCCCCCGCTGGAAGCCCACGGAGCCTGCTGGGGGCGCTGTGGCAGCATCCTGGTAGCTGAAGAAAGTAGTAGCATTAGTCACAGTTCCAGTGGGACGTCAAAGCTTCTGTCCCCTCACTTAAGTTTCTAAAATGTAATAAAAGCATGTGTTTGGAGGGTGGGAGCACTTTCAGGTGATGCGGAGAAGTGAGGAGTCTTACCGGTGCTGTACATAGTTTGTGGATGAGCCAATACTCAAGGCCTTTCACTCACCACTCAGTATTTGCTCACCTACGTAATGCTTCAACAAAATAGTTCGATGGCATATCGTCAAAGTGGTTTGTGCCCTGGCTGGTTTGGTTCAGCGGTTGGAGTGTTGGCCTGGGGACCAAAGAGTCTCAGGTTCAATTCCAGGCAAGGGCACATACCTGGGTTGCGGTTTGGTCCCCAGCCACTGATCGATGTGTCTTTCTCACATTTATGTTTCTCTCTCTCTCTCTGTCTCTCTCTCTCTCTCTCTCCCACCCTCCCTCCCACTCTATCTGAAGATAAGTGGAAAAATACCCTTGGGTGAGGATTTAAAATAAATAAAAGTAGTTTGTAGTTTTGATGGCAAAAACCTTAATCTTTTTCTTTAAAAGATGTATCATGACTGTGGCTCTATATTTTCTATTCAGTGACGAGTATGTGTTCAGAGCATAGAACCACTGGTTAGAGAAATCATGTTGACTCAGATTATCTTTCTGTTTCTACTGGATCTTGATTAGCAGTTACATCATCTTCTAAAAGCATATGCCATTTAATCAAAATGTATTTCAAAGTTTCTGACTCAATCTAGATACTTAAGAAAGTTAGAACCAAGTTACAGCAGAGGACGCTGGGAAACCAAAGATATGGAAATGAGTCTGATGAATCCTGACCTTCCAGTACTAATGTAGGTGGGAAGTAAATTCACAGCCAACCAGAAGGTGGAAAGTGATTTGGAAAAATAAGAAAGCGGCGGGACCATCCGGGGATGCAGAATACCTGACAGGTGAGGAGCCTGTCAAGAGGAGGTCAGGGAAGTCCCAGAGGATGTGGTGTTTGAGCAACGATTAGAATGAGAGATGAAGCTGGTTATTGGTCAGCTGGGAGAATATACTCCAGGTGGAGGGGGGGCAGCTGGAGCTAAGTCCTGCAGTGGGCACATGACATGTGTGGCTCCATGACGAGCAGGGAGAGCAGTGTGGCTGGTCTAGAGTGGGGGAGGGGTGGAGAGAGGGAAGTGTAAGAGGTGAACTGAGAGAGGGGAGGGTTGGAGGCAACAGATCGTATGAGGCCCTGGGAGTCGCTGCAGTTACTCGGAGTGAGTTGGGAAGTAACGTGAGTGACCGCAAATTGAACACCCCTGAATCAGCTGTTCTCGCTCCTGAACCTCCACCAGAAAGCGGCCTCCTCCCTCATCTCAGCAAGTCTCCCCTTCTCCTAGGAGTCAGGACTCCGCCCTCCTCTGTACCTGTCTGTTGCTGACACCTGGCTGTGTGTCCCGGAAGTCTCACGAGGCTCTCACACTCAGAACTCCCAAGGGGCCCCACAGAAAATGTCATTTGTGCGGCGGTGACACCAGAGCAGTGCAGTGGACAACCTACCGCTGTGGACGGAGGTCCTGATGCTCTTCTGTGCTCCCAGACTTCTGTGACAGCTGTGTCCCTTCTCTGGGCAATACAATGTCTTACCTGTCCCCTCGCCTCCCAACAGTCTATTCGCTCTTTGAGGACGAGATGGGATCAGAGTTCCATCTGTGTTCCTGGTACCGGGGAAGGGCTGAAATACTGGGGCCTGCGCGGCACTCTGTTTCGTGAAGAAAGTAAACCACAACAGAATGTGAATGTAGGAGTTGAGGGGAATTCTCTAGATTTTTCTACCCTGTCAGGTCTTGCCGTCCTGTAAATCACTCCACATCACATCATCTTCACAGTCACACAAACAAGAGGTTCTAATCACTGGCCAGAGAAGCTGTAAACACAAGAGGGAAAATGATGGTTTAGATGTGCTGAGAGCCCACGGAATGCGGGACGTTGGCAGAGGAAGCAGGTCTCCTGTGTGTGAGGAGCTGGTAGCTGCCGGCCGGCCGGTGATTTAAGAGGCTCCAGGGCCGTTTCCCCACCTGGAATTCCTTCCTTAGAGAGATTAGCGGCCCCTCCGAGCGCGAGCAGTGTCCCGGGAAGGGCCCTGGGATGAGCTCAGCAGATCGCTCCTCGGCGAGGCCTCAGCAGGGGACAGTGGGCTCCCCAAAGCAGCAGAGGGAGAAACCAGGGAGCAGCGAGTGGAGAGGGCGGCCCGAGGGCCACGTGACTCCTCTGTGATCTGGCCCCAGCCTGACCCGCTTAGGAAGCTGTTTTCTTGTTCAAAGGATAGTTTGTTTATTTGGAAGAAGACAGTCTATTGCCTTTCTTTTTTTAAACAGATGAAACTTTTTATTTCATCTCCTTGGTGCCATTAAACCCTTGATAGGAAACCGCCCCCTTTCAGAGCCTGTCTTTTTGGCAAGCCTGGGTGGTCGGTTGGTTGTTTGCCTCAAAAGAGGGTGTTGTTTGTGTCTCAGTGGGGTGCAGGGCAGCTGTGAGGAGACCACTGTCCCCTCGTGAGGCCCTGCCAGGGGCCGAGGTCCCGAGAGAGGGCCTACAGGGTGGCCCGGCTCCCAGGAGGCAGGCAGGCTGGCCACCCTCGGGGCGCCGTGCCGTGTGGCCCCTCCCTGCACTGATGCACACGGTCACGCACACACCTGCGGTCACGCACACACCTGCGCAGCTCCAGATCTCACGCCCTGCGGCCACTTGCTGTATCCAGCTGCCAAAAATCAGGCAGTTCTGCTCCTGGCCGGAGCCTCGCAGAGCTGCTTAGCATACAGCTGAGAGAGGGCCCGGGCCTGAGCCCACGCTGGGGAGAAATGATGTCGTCCTGTGATGCTGGGTGGTTTGGAAGAACACGGGAAAGGGTGAAGGGACCCAGGATTTGCAGGGTCTCTGGAGGTCGAAGAGACTGTTTCACAGGTGAAGGACCAGGGACCTGGGTTCAGGGGTGGCTTAGGACCCCCGCTAGGTATGGGTTCTGCAACCGTATTGTTTGATCACTTGCATTTTATGTTTCACTTTCTGAATGGTAAAGGGAGACCAAGACTGGGCCAAGTTTCATGCTTTTTGAGCAAAGTCATTTTGTCTGACATCGTCTGTACATCCTTACAAAGCCCTAGCTGTTACAGCAGTAGTTGTTTTCAAATGCACAAGCATCCTTTAACTGTTCCCCATATTTTCTGGAAACAATTAGATTTTCTATAAGTCTCCATTTCTTTCCAAACCATTCTTCATTTATATTTACCAACAAAATCATCTCAAGATGAATTCTTGCTAGAATGGACACTGATCCCAGTTCTAGCAGCCACGGTGTGAAAAGGCAGTTCTCCCCGGCTCGGTCCTCTCGTTCAGAGCTGGGAACCCGGCCCCTGGGCGCAGAGGAGGCCACCGCCCCGT